GTCTTCACAAACATTTAATTGTCGCATTTCTTTTTCTGCAGGTGGCATCTCCTCAATTTACATTTTAATAACCTTGGTTAATGGTGTCTTAGCTGCTACTTGCTCTGTTAGCACAACCCAGTGGCCCCTCCCAGTTTCTGTGCTTCACTTGGGAATGTCAGGGAGAAGGCGGGTGCCCCGTGCGCCTGCAACTCTCCAAGTATAACATCTCCAACCTCAGCCTTTCCTGGCTTTCCACATCTGGAGGTAGAAGAACATTCTGACAGAGCAGCCTCAAAACATAGCAGCCTGCTGCTCAGGGCTGCCGGTCTGCTCACAGAGCTTGCCTCATTCTTTCCCAGGTCTGGGCTTTGCTCAAACCTAACCAGGTAGGCAGATCAGCAATCAACAGCCCATGCAAGGGGAAGACACTGATTGTGAAGCTGCCAGGGCACTGGGTCAAGGTCCTTCCATCAGCCAGAGGCAAAGCTGGGACCCAATTTAGCATCTGGAGTCTGAGCACCTACAGACACCCCAGGAGCTCAAGAGAAATCATCGAACCTCAGAAGCAAGACTCGCACCTGGAGTCCTAGACCTGTAAAGAGGCAGGTTGTCAGGGCTCAAGCTCAGACCTCTGGGTTGTAAAAGCCCTCCTTCTCCAGGAGTCCTCCCAGGTGTCGCTTGCTGGGCGAGCGCATGAAACCACTCCTGGAACCTCTGTGTCTTATGATCGTCCTCCTTTCCTCTTAATCACCTTTCTTGTTTCTGAGCAAACACCCGATGCCTGCAACTCGGAGGGAAGGTTTACTTTGGCTCACAGTCCAGTTCATGGTCAGCTGGCTCCAAGGCAGAAACTGCATGGCAGAGGGCCTATGCAGAAGAGAGCTGCTCACAACATGGTGAGCAGGAAGCAGACAGGGAAGGGGAATAAACCCTTCCGGGTCACACCCCAGTGACCACTCCCAGCCAGGCCCTGCTCCTGACAGCACAGTCAGCCATGAACTCACGAGTGGATGAATCCACCAATGAGCACAGCACCCCACGACCCAGTCATCTTCCACACTCACCACCCCTGGACACAGGAGGCATGGTGGGGGGGCATTGTATTCTTTTTTATTTTCTTTATTTTAAAGAAAATTTTTAAAATTTAAAAATAATAAAAAGATACAGAATTTAAAAACAAGACCCTGCAAAGCTATCTTTCAAAAGTAATGGTGAAATAAGATATTTCCATGACAAAGAACAACTGAAGAAAATCATGACCACCAAACCAACCCTACAAAGAGTACTAAAAGATATTCCAGAAAGAGATAAAAATGACCACAATTCCAAAAAACAACAGTAGAAAGGAACCACCAAGCAAGATAAGCAATTAAACAGAGGAAGGGAAATTAGGAAATAGCAGGAATATGTAGTACCATTATAACCACTAATGTCAATGGCCTTAATTTACCAAGCAAAAGCAGCAGACCAGCAAAGTAGATCAAGAAACAAAATCCAACAATATGCTGTGTACAACAAATACATTTAGCTCAAAAGGGAATTCATAGACTCAATGTCAAAGGAATGAAAACAACAGTCCACGAGACAGGAACCCAGACAAAAGCAGGGCAGCTATTGTGCTTGCAGAATGTGAACTCCAAACCAGGAATGAGCAAAAGAGATAAAGAAGGGACATTCTGTCCTGAACCCATGAACCACAACACCTTAGTAGAGTTACAGAGGCAACATTAGGGACTCTGTGAAGCTGTGAGTGTCTTAAATGCGAGAAGTGCATATTGTTCGTCTCTGTACCCCTCCCAACACCTAGGAGACTCATGTCCTACAGCAGGTTTGAAATGAAAGTTTCTTAAACAGATGGGACTTAGAGTAAGACCAAGTACGTGACTGAATGAGCCACCCCTAGCCACGGTGTGTGGTGTCTGTAAGTGAGGGTGCTGGGGAATCCGGCTAGGGTTACTCTTCACTGTGCAGAACTGTGCCCTTCAAGACAAAACAAGCAGCACCTGGCCCCCAGGCACTACCTATGTTACGCCTGCCATTCCAGCGCCGGAACACCCCTCATATCCACGCTCCCACACCCTCAGGTTAAAAAGCACTGCCAAAATCCCGGCTCTGATCAGGACACAAGAAAACAAACCAGACTTTCCAACACAATAGGGTGAAACTGCAGCTGAATGACCCGGCTGTCACACACAGGCTTAACATAGTGGTAATTAATTGTCTTTCGAGAAGGAGGTTGGAGTGAAGGGCACACAGACACCCCAGGCCTTGGGGAAGGAACCCGAGTCTCACTTTCTCCAGCTGGGCTGAGGAAGTCCTCGAGGATGACTAACACGACCTGTCAGGGAATGGGACACAGTCTCAAGACAGGCGCTGCTGCTGCTGCGGAGAGGAAGAACACTCAGGAACTGAATGATTCCTCCAGTTTGCAGCAAGACATTCTCCTCCATACCCTTCTCAAGCAAGAGGAAGAGTCCCCTAGAGAGGCGCAGGGCCCGAGAAGAGGAAGGGTTACACAGCCCGCGGAGTGCATTTCTCCCGCTTCCATCCGAGGTGATGTCCCCAGCGGGTTATCCGCACTGCACTGGGTGGAGCAGGACAGTGCAGGAGAGGGACCTTCCGGAGCTCCATGCTGAGGGCTGTCAGGAGTGAGAATTTCTGCTCAGGCAACGGCACTGACTCAGTGGAAGGGAGAGGTGTTTGCCAAGGTTACCTGAGGCAAAGCCTGAGGAAAGGAAACAGCCAACACGTCTCACAAGAGAGGCCTCTCGCAGGTACATGGTGGACCAAGCTGATTTTCTCAGAAGGGGAATCTGACATCTTGATTTTCTGTCAACCTCGCTCTGCACTCTGCTCACACACACCCATACCCAGTGCCTCCGGGGGCCACTGCCCACCACACCCAGCAGCCTGGCGTCTCCTGTCCGTGACACAGCTCTAGGGTGCAGCGAACGGAAGGAGGCAGAGAGCAGCAGAGATGACAGGTGCAGAAAATGGCTCAAAGAGATGTTCCTTTTCTCCCCCAATAAAAGGATTCTAGGGTAATTTTTACTTTTTGTGTGCTGAAACATTGCTTATAAATTGGCTTGTTCTTCAAAGTGATGCATTAAACATTTGAAATCCTTTGTTAAATATGAAACGCCCTGTAGTCCCAGTCATAAAGGGGTCCTGATCCATGACTGTGTCAATTAAAAATTGCCCTTATGATAACTGCCCATGAACCACGAGATGAATGGGAACATTAGACTTCAGCACAAAACCCTGACCCTTACAAAGTCTGTAATCTCAGGACAGCATTTCTTAACGCCAAACTCTTCACAGAATGGGGCCTGGGCTGTCGATAGATATTATACAGACAGACAGACAGAGAGTGGGAGAGTCAGAAAGAGAGACAGAGGGGGAGGAAGACAAAGAGGGAGAGAGAGGGATTGACGGGGAGGGAAGGAAGAAGAGGGAGAGAGGGAGAAAGAGAAGCATCCAGGGGAGGTTATATAAACGAGGACGAGCCCCCGGACCCGGCCTGTGCGCAAACACTGTGCTCCTGGAGACTTCCTGTCCCTCGGGTGCTCAGGAACACAGCTGTCCTCTTCCTCTGGCGGTGGCCTGTTCCCGTCAGGCCCTGCTGCGGACACCTCCCGCTCACAGTGCCCTCCTGCCCGCTCGCTCCTGGAGGGCAGAGCTCCAGAGAGCTGCCTGGCCTCAGGCTCCATTGTCCCCTCCAGGTCGCCTGGAGTCCACTCGTGTTCTAGGGTCACAAGCCACTCTCCCTAAGGTCCCCAGGGACGCACGCTGAGTCCAGGGGTCAACTGCCCGCCTGCGCTTTATTTTACCCACGAGCTCCGCTCTTGAACACTCCCCTTCCTGGGGCCACGCACTCAGAGCCCCTGCTATCTGAAGGGTGCTTCCTCCGTCTCCGCTCCTCCCGGCCTCTCTCAGCTGAGGCCCAGGCCTGGTGCTGGCCTCTCAGTGTCTCCAGCGGCGTTCTCTCCCACAGTCACTGCCACCAACCTTGAAGCCCCCAACACACCAAAACGGGGAGACTCTTACAGGAACGTGCAGTCGGACGGATCCCGACTCCTGAAGGAATCTGTCTCACCACCTCCTCCGGGCTCCTGAAAGCAAACTGGACGTGTTCACAGCTGCGTTCATTCCTCTGCTCTGAGCTCTCTCCGCCTACAGTCTTCCTCTCCTAGCTCCGTGTCACTCCAGGGCCCCAAGTGCCACGCCCAAGATGGAGGGTCTTCCCAGTACCTCTCTACTACATTCTCCTCCATCTTGTGGTTCTGCCTCTGAATGCAACCCAAACCTGACCACCCGGCACAGAATTACCAATGCTCTGTCTCTCCCCTGGGTTATTACACGAACCTCCCAGATGATGGCGGTGTCATGCCCGATACCCCCAGGCCTCCTCCCCACACCTGTCCTGAGCAGGATGTTCACCAGGTAGGGCAGGGGACAGGTCACCTGCAGCCGCCCAGTCTGTGCTCGGCTCGCTGACCTCACCTTCTTCCTCCTGCCCTTCTGCACTCTGCCCTGGTGACTCCACACAGCCCAAGCTACTTGTGCCCCAGGGCCTTTCACCTGACTGCCCCTTTGCTCTGGGACACACTTTCCACAGTGTTTCTGTCTCCAAGTCTGCTCAAACATTGCCTTCCGGGCTGGGCTGCCCCCGACCACACTACTAACCCAGATAGCTCCAGCTCCCACCCCCTCACGCCTCTGACCTCCTCCTCAGCCCTCCCCAGCACGCGGCACACACTGCCCCCCACGTTTCCTTCCTTACTACACATATAGACTCCGCATCCCTGAACCATCAGTGCCACAAATGCAGTGATTTTATCTATCCCCTTCCCCATTCACCCCAAACCTAGCGGCTGACAAATAGCACATAAATGTCATTGAATACATGAATAAATTAATGAATATGCAGCTCCTTCAATAAGCAGTAGGAAGCCATTCAAAAATTTCCGAAGTGTGGTCCTCGGCCAGAGCGAGCTTTAGACTCTGTTCTCGGGTGGCCGAGATTGTGACAGACCCCAGCTGTGTCTCAATCACAGCAGGCGCACTGGGTCTCCGGTAGCACAGGTGTTTTAAAGCACACACACAGGAGGGGTATAGCCCAAAGAGAGGACTCGAGGACTTCAGACTCCCTCAGAATTAAAACACGTCTTCGCCCTTGTCAGGCAAATGAAACAAATGTTTCTGAGAAGCTGTGCTGCAGAATCCCAGGGAGAAGGCGAAGAGAATTGATTTCACGGCAGCAGAGCCGCACCTGGGCACTGCCCCACCCCCTGCTCGCCTGCGCGGCTGCGTCTCAGACATCAGAATTGATCTTCAAGAGGCGATGGGGCGCGCTTTCGTCTGCTTCCCCAAAGCCTCCTCGCTGCCTTCAGGAAATGCCTCACAACAAAGCACCATGGTGGAAGGAATGGCGACCCCAGCATCCAGGCCTGCACAGGGTCCACCAACTCCTCTGCTGGCCTGTGTGTCACTCCGAGCCTCTCAGGCTGGCCAGGGGTGGGGGGTAGGGGAAACAGGATGTGAGCACCAGGCTCCCTCTCTGCCTACCACACAAGCACCGCCCTCTCCCAAGGGTGCCGGTGATCAGTGAATTCAGCAGCCGGCGGGAGACTGTCAGAGGGAAACTTTCTGAGATTCCCCTTCAAACAAGCAGCACCCTGAAATGCTAACTTCTCCAGGCACCTGGCACTCGAGGCCTCTCGAGGTTCTGGGTTGGGTGGGAAGCGTCCCCCATGGAGCTCACCAAAAGCAGTCACCTTTTCGACAGTCACCTCCTTTGGAGCATTTTTTGCAAGGGTGAATATGTTCAAAGCCACAAGTATTGTAGCTCTGAAAAGAAAGAAAAGCTCTCGCCTACAAGGAAAGAAGCGAAGGGGCTTTTGCCAGTGCTTCACCCACTGAGGAAGCCCTGGGGGAGAGGCACACCTCGGTCCCTTTCTTCCTGACCCTCAGCTCTCCCCCACCACTGGGATTTCCCAAGACGAGCTCCATCACGTGGTCTTCAGACTAGTATCCCACCCTCAGAAAGATGTGGGTGAGCCATTGTGCACAAAGCGTATTGCTAGACAGGAAGGAGGGTACACCTTCCAGCCACCCACATGGGTCAGCCTGCTCATGCCTGGGACACATGCCCCAACACCCACACTGTGAAGAAGGAAAGGTTTAACTTGGCTCACAGTTCCGGGCTTCAGTCCATGGTCAGTTGGCTCTGAGGCAGAAATATCATGGCGGAAAGGTGCGTTGGAGCAAAGCGGCTCAACCCATGACTGGCAGGGAAATAGAGAGAGAAGGGAGGATCGAGGGAGAGAGACACACCCTTCCGGGTCACACCCAGGGACCACCTCCAACCGGACCCCGCCTCCTCCAGCACAGGAACCGGGCTCATCCCCGGGTGAGTCCACTGATGAGTGTGGCGCCCATGATCCAGGCACCTCTGGGGACGTCTTAGATCGTAAGCCTAACACCACCTGTTTCTACAAAGGGGCTCCCATCACCTGGAGAGGGCATTACCCTTCTGCCTGGTGATCAGCTACTGTACCCCAGGTGGGAGCTGGACGTGTGGGAATTGTCACCCGCAGTGGACCACTGAAGGACAAGTGTCCATCCTTGTTCTCACAGCTAAGATGACACACAACCCTGTCCCTTTAATAACCTCACATTCAGCCACTCACCTCCCACTCTGCTTTTCAAGAGAGCTCCAGAAGGTGGCAGCATCAGAGCCAGCAGGTGGGGACAGCCCGGGACCTGCAGCCTGTGTTGCAGCTGTCCAGGGGCAGTAGCAGGATGCTATGAGGATGACATTCGTCGTGCACAAAGGAAGCAGCCTCAGTAGTCTGGCCCCACTCCTCTGACACACGTCAGAGTCCTTTTATGATCTGACTGCACCCAGCTGCCCAAGTTCACCCTCAAGCGCACAGAGCCCTGGTGGAGCACAGCCTCTGTCGCCCCATGCAGATGACCCCTGCTGGGCTGTGCTGACTACCTAAGGACTCCCTGTCACCACATGAGGCTGTTCCAGGTTTCAGGCTGGACTTTGCTTCCTCTCCTGCTGTAGCAGCTCTAGCCAAATGACGTAGCTCAACCTTTTGACATTCTCAGTTACTTCCCGCATACCTAAGGAACCAGCATGGGCCTCCCTGGAATTCCACAATACTCTGCATGCTCTGTGGCTAACTTTTTAAGGATTTGTGCCAAAGATGAAATAATGGTGCTTGGTTACCCCAAGTGCAGACAGGGGAGGGCTGGAGCCAGACACACACAGCCTTTGTGAATATTATTCATCACACTGGTGCTAAGGGGGCTGAAACATACTGATGCCTGATACCAATACAAAACTCCCCCAGTCATGCAAAAACTCCCATTGATCCATACCACACAGGGTGGCTTCCAGGAACCCCACAGGGACACCAGAATCCACAGGTGGTCAAGTCCCTGCTACAGAACTGTGCCAGGTTTGTGATCACCTGTGCACACTACCCTAACTGGTGTGCTTTGCATCACCTCTAAATTACATGTAACAGGCAGTACACAGCCTGCCCACCACCTCATTTACACAGAGGGGGCGCGTGTGTGGCACGTGGCTAATTCAATTTCTGCTCTTTGGAACTTTCTGGAATCATCCATTCAGCCAGCAACCAACTGGATCTGTGGCTGAAGGTGAGAATGTGGAGATGCAAAGGTTGATTATATCTCAACCATGATATTTCTATCGGAGTAGCTCAAGTATATAAACAATAAACCTGGAGGCACTAAAAATACAATGGATTTTTTTAAAAAGTACTCTGGGATGACTACGGCCATGGCTACTCACAGGTCGCTGGTGTGGCACGGGTAGGGGGCTGCCTGCGCCTGCGTAGTGGGCTCCAAGACTTCCTGCCCAGTCTGGACCGCAACAATGGCTCTTTCAATCATGTCTTGCAGCGGGACAAAGATGTAGTTATATTTGAACCCGTCGGCCGGCAGGCTCTGAGGATGGAACTTCCAAGAAGGGTTTTTTATCAGATCTGTCCTCATGCTGTATAAGATGCTGGTGCGTATTGTGTATGTGACGTGGGGTAGCAATTTGAGAGACGCTGATCTGAAGCTCTTGCCAATGGAGGAACTGTTGAATATGATACCTGGTGGCAGAGAAGGTCAGGTAAGCACTGCCAGAGCTCAGGGAGAGGTGCGCAGCTCCGCCTCCTGCATGAGGGGTGTTCAGCCCCAGGAAGGTAAAACCATGTTCAGCTCTACAAGTTACTGCTAGTAAGACTAAACTGAGACCGAATTCCCAGTTCAATGTATCCTTTTTTCAGTAAAATCATATTGTGTTACCATCAATACAGAGACATTGTTTTATTCAGGACTTGAAAAATTACACAAGGCTGCTCAGATAGTAATCAGCATCTCTCCCCTTGAGCTGCAGATGTGACTGGATGAGCAGAATCTATCCCCCGGGGCCAATCACTCACAACTTTAGTGTATGGATTGTGTTTTCTGCCACATGGGTTCTTTGAGATCCATCATAAAACCTGTCATGAACTGGACTGTCTCCCCCGAAAACACATGATGAAGCCCTCACCCCAGGATCTTGAAATGTGTCTGTGGTTGGAGACAGCATCTTTGGAGGGGCTACTGAGTTAAAATGAGGCCTCTAGGGTGGGCCTTAGTTCAATGTGATGCTGTCCTTATAAAATGAGGAAAGCCAGATATAGAGACATAGAGAGATATAAGGAGGGGACAGCCATCTACAAGCCAGTGAGAGACACAGCAGAAGAACATCCCTTCCCAGCCCTCCGGAGAAACCTATCGCTGCTTTACTGTGGCACTTCCAGCCTCTAGAAAGGAAATTTCTATTGCTTAAGTTACCCGCCTGCAGTACCTCATTACCTCAGCCCTGGCAAACCAGCGCAAAACCTCAATAAAACACAAAAAAGGGGTGAGGTGTAGCTCAGTGACAGAGCACCCATTTCACCTGCACCCGGGGTGCTTAGGTCCAGCCCCAGTACCAAAAACAATGATAACAATTAGATGGTGATTCAAAGAGACTATACAAGAATGCACCGTATTTATTTGAATAAGTACACAATTAGTAATGGACTCTAATTGATTGCTGTATTTTCTCACCCTCAGCCCCAAAGAACACAATACTATGATAAAAATAAAGGTGGTGGAGGAAATTAGAATATAATGTTGGTTAAGAAAGCTGTTATTATCACATGAGATTTAACCATAAACAATGTCAAGAAATAGTAAGAACAGATGCATCCAGCACCATTATTCTCAGGATGGTGAAAACGCAGTCAGTCATTATGGCATGAGACACTTCTTTTCATTAACTCCATGTGTATATTTCTGCTTTATTTTATGTTTTATCTGGGGAAGGCTTCGCTTTTCTCTGAGCCAACATAAAACACCGTTAGGGAGAAATGCGTGAGATGACAACTTATTGGAGCCAGTCTTTGCGACCTTATTTGTCTGTTACTTACTGGCTAAGAACTTGTTCTGCTGCATAAGTTTGTGTGCTTCTGATTCCAGGGTGTCCTCTGACTCCATGGCCCGGAAGCGGTCCAGCAGCACGCAAGAAGAGAGGTTGACCAGGGCACTGCCCAGCAAGTGGAAGTGTCCAGCCCCTGCATGGTTAAAGACACCGTCCAGCACCCGTCCTGAGGAAAGCAAGCAAATCAGAATACATCAGCTTCCCTTCCACCTCCCTGCTTTCTGTTCATACAGTAGGGATCATGCAAATGACTCCTAAAATTCTTTCATTAAAAGGATATTCAAAAGGGAGTCATAATTTGATGATATGCAAGATTTACTATCTATTTGCTGAATGCAAGCTCTCCACTTTTTACGTGTTCTGTGTAATGCTGATACATACTGAAGAAAAAACTGTGTGTTACCTTTTTACACATGTTCCCCGCAATGCTGATACACCTAAATGGAGAAACATAGTTAAGGCACAAAGGTAAGACTGTCACACAGACACTGGTGACAGCAGGAGGATAGAACAAAAACAGAAGGAAAAAGTCAGAGGCATAACACACGTGCAGAAAGGAAGATCTCAAGTTATCATTATTTGCAGGTGACATGACACTCCATGTAGAAGATCCAAAGAACTCCACCAAAAACCCTTACCAGTAATAACCAATGCAACAATGCAGCAGGATACAAAATCAACACACAAAAATCAATAGCATCTGTGTACACCAATAATGAACTCAGTGAGAAATACATTATGCAAGTAATACCACCTTACATTAGCATCAAGAAAAAATAAATACTTAGGAACTAAGCTAGCCAAAGAAGTAAAAGACCACTATAATGAAAACTACAGTACAATAGAAAAGGGGATTAAAGATGTCAAAAAATGGAAGGATGTCCCCCTCTCCTGGATAGGCAGAACCAATATTGTCAAAATGGCGATACTTCCAAAACTGTTCTATAGATTCAACATAATTTCAATCAAAATACCAACAGCATTCATCACAGAACTAGAGAAAACAATCTTGAAATTCATATGAAACCAAAAGATACCCAGAGTAACAAAAATAATATGGGTAACAAGAGCAAAGTAGAAAGCATCACAATACCTGACTTCAAGCTATACTATCTACAGAGCAACAGTGATAAAAACGGCATGGTACTGGAACAAAAATAGATGTATAACAGAATATAGAACATAGAAATGTCCCAAGGCACGTTTAGGTATTTGATCTTCAACAAAGTGGCAAAGGCATACATTGGGGGAAAGATAGCCTGTTCAATAAATAGAGAAAACTGGCTATTCGCAGAAGATTTAAGCTGGACCACATCTCTCACTATGTACTAAAATCAAAAGAGATCAAAGATCTAAGAATTAATACAGAAACAGTGAACCCACTGGAAGATAAAATAAGTAAAACATTTGAAGACATAAACATAGGCAAGGACTTTCTGAACAGAATTCCAATTGCACAAGAAGAAACAGCAAGAATCAACAAATGGGATTACATCAAATTTTTAAACTTCTGCACAGCAAAGGAGTGAAGAAACAACTACAGAATGCGGGGGGGGAAATGCCAGCTATGCCTTGAGGACTAATTTCTAGAATATAAAAAGAACTCAAAAAAAATAAATCTCCTAAAATAAAAGATCCAGCCAAGAAATGAGCAAGTGACATGAACAGACACTTCTTAGAAGCACAAATGGCCAACAAATATATGAAAAGATGTTCAACACCTCTGGCCATTAGAGAAGTGCAAGTTGAAACAGTGCTGAGATTCTGCTGGCACCAGAAAGAACGGCGATCATTACTAAGTCAGGGAATAACAAGTGCTGGTCTGCTTGCAGGAGAAAAACGACCCTTCCTACATTGTTGGTGGGAATGGAAGCAACTACTATGGAGATCAGCATGGAGATTCCGCAAAGAACTAAAATTAGAAATTGTATATGACCCTTCTAGGTATCTTCCCCAAAGACGTAAAGACATCATATTACAGTGATATGTGCATACCAATATTTATAGCAGTACAATTCATAAGAGTTAAATCCTGTATGTCCAACAACAGGGAAATAGATAACCAAAATATAGTATTTCTACCTAATGGAATACTACTTGGTTATAAAGAAGGATAAAGTTGAAACATTCATAGGATAATTGATGTTCCTGGAAAATACAATGTTGAGTGAAATAAATCAAACACACAAGCCTGAACACCATATGGTATCTCTCATTCGAGTACGGCAATGTACAAACAAAGAGCAAAGTAAAAGCTGGACAGGAGGAAACAAGGGGGCAAATTGCTTGCAAACAGGAAGGGGTCCAGAAGACCAGGCACGAGGGATGAGAGGGAGAGGAAGGAGAAGTACGGAGATTTAAGATATGTCATGTTCAGGTACTAAGCAACTAAAATAAATGTGAACATTGTATGTCATAAATATGCACTTAGAGCAATAACAACAATGAGAACAAAAGTGGGAAAGAGGAGTTAGAGGTGAAGGGATGGAGGTGGATGGGAAGGGGAAAAAGATAAGAAAGAGAACCAGGCTGTTCTTTCGTACATGCACCGAGGTGAATGCAAACTTCATGTACTGCAAACATTTACTAATAAAATTAAAATTATAATTTAAAAAAGAAAAGAAACGCTCTACCAGCCAAAAATAAATAAATAAGCATGTAGCAACAGGAAAAGAACTGGGCAACTGCTTCCCAATCATTGGCTTGCTAAAGACAAGAGAGGTGTAATTTTGAATTTTCACTTTAAAAATGTAATAAACCCCTGTTAAGTACTCCTGGAAAAAGAATCCATCACAGAGAGTGCAGTGAAAACAAAACAAAGAATAAAAACGTTTCCGCCTGGGGTTGAATAATTCTCAACAGTGCTGTCTCAGTTCCTTTCTTGTCACTGAGACAAAATGCCTGACACCCACAAGTGAGAGGAGGAAAGGTTTATTTTGGCTCACAGTTTGCAGAGGTTTCAGTGTCTAGTTGGTGGGCTCCACAGCAGGGCAGCAGGGCAGAGGGGCATGGGAGAGGAGAAACAGTCCATGGCAGGGCAGGCAGGAGGCAAGAAGCAACCGGCCTCCTCTTCCCTTTTATTCCCTTCAGGCTGCAAGCCTTTGGGTGGGTGCCACCCACACCCAGGGTGGGCCTTCCTATTAGACATACCCAGAGCTGAGCTGAACCAACAGGTGGACTAATGCGGTTATCACACACTCTTAGCCCACATTCACACACTGGTGATTTAGCCACCCACAAGCACGTGAGGCTTTGAGGAGACAGAAGCCGTAAAAAAGCCTTCTCTGAAGTTACTTTACAGCACTAATCTTGCTAAACAAGGACCACAGTGTATTTCCACTGAGGAAACCCCATCCTCAGACGATGGACTCCATTCTCTGTCCTGGATTTGTGCACTGGAAGAAGAAGCAATAGCAGATGAACACTGGTAACATCTCAGGGCAAACCACTGAGTTTATCTTGATACTTTCGCTCAGGTTCAGGAAGGAGCTGAGGAAAATCAATGACCTGGAGAAAGGCAGTGTGAGGAGGGAGAGCCGCAGGAGAGATGACGGGTTCCACGGTGGGGGACAGGAATCGCTTCCCAAGTTTGCTGTGCGCAGGTGCTGCCTGGGAGCTACCACCATGGCCCGGAGCTACCACCATGGCCCCGGGCCACCATGTCTCTGTAAGGAGGAGGAGTATGGGCCCCACCCTGATGGTACAAGAGGAAGCTGCACACCTAATGGGTGGGGTCTGCAGGCGGATCCAGAAGGACTCTTCCTTTTTCCCATGCAAGATTTTATAAAGAATTGAGATGAACTGAATGCACACAATACACCATGTGCACAGAAACCCACAGTGGATCACAAAACTACGCAAAGTCAGCCTGCGAATCACCGCCATCACTTTCTCCTCCTTATTCCAGTCTCAAGCAGCTGGGAGACAGCAGCTTTCGGCACTTGGGAAATCTAGACTGCAGCTCACCCACTAAGAAAGCCCTTCACGCCAGCATCCCCAGTGACAGCGGAAACATGACTGGCTGGCAGGTTTCACCTCTCCCCAGGTTCACAGGCAACAGCTTCTAACATTTAAGGCTGCAGAGGACCTTCAGCTGTAATTTGAACGATGCGACTGAAAAGGAACTAGAAGTCAGGCTCTTCCACCTCGGTGTGCCCTGAGCTCTTCAACTGGGAGGGATGTCCTCACTGGTGGACGGAGATGGGTACAGGAGCCCAGCAAGAGCATCGCAAGTCCCTTGGAGCGGTTCAGAGCCTCAGCACCAGTGGCTCAACCTTGGCTGCTGGACAGGATGACCAGTGACCTGAGTCACAGAACCAGAGGACACAGGGTGTTTGGTGGCCTGGAGATGGAGACCCAGGTTCTCCGCTGTCCACTGGGCCTTGGGGTCTGAGGACCACAGGGAGTGGGGCATCAGCTGTGGATGCTTTGTCCTCACCCTGCCCATGACAAGGGACTGAGGACAGCACACTCTGTAATCTGGCGATTAGATGCAGAGAAGCAGGAATCACAGCTGGTGGCCACCGGGCCGGTGCAGGACATGCACTGGGTGTGGCACTGTATCCCACTTATTAATGTGTAAAATCGATTTCCGATAGAGGCACAGTAGGGGCAACACAGGCCCATCAAAGCAGTGTGCAGGGGTTTTCCAGGCTTCCAAGCTCACCCCCACCCCAGCCAGGATGGAAAGGTGGGCAGCCTGGGTCATCTTTGGTGCAGATTCAGATAGCAGGGGCTGTGCTCTGGCCTGAAGCAGCTGGTACAGAGGCAAAGCCCACAGCCGTGGCTGTAATATTTTCTGATCCGCTTTCTCCAGCTACGTCCTTCTCCAAGATGACATCATGTGTCCGGATCTGCCCTTGGCTGCTGACCTCGGTGGTCAGTGCTGACCTGTGCTGTGCCATTGAGACGTGACCTCTCCAGTGTTCACACTGCGGTCTCACGGGGGACAGGGGGGACAGTGGGGGGAGGGGAAAGAAAGAGGGAGGGGGAGGAAGGGGAGGGAGCAGAGGACAAAGGGGGGATGAAGGGGGGAATAGAGAGGAAGGCAGAGGGAAAGGGGACAGGAAGAGGAGGAGGAGGAAAATGAAGAGGAAGAGGAGGAGGAAAGGGAAGAGGAGGAAAGGGAGGAGGGGGAGGGGAGGGGAGAAGGATGAAGGAGAAGTTATGACCCTGGATGAGTCTTCACAAGGTGTGAATTCTGTGCAATGCGTGCTTGTGTGCGGTGGGTTTCATGGCATCAGCCTGCTCCTCCTGTGTCTGTGACGAAGGTCTGCAGTGCAGGTGAGGCTCGGGGCTGAGCCCCAGGATCTCAGTGGCTGGGTTCCCCGGGGACCGCGCCGGAGCACCTGTGCCTTGGGCTCGGGACATCCCTCCCACGGGGGAGTGGACACCGGAGCCGAGCGGGGTCCCAGGAGGCCACTGCTCCCTCCCGCCGGAGCCCTGACCAGGGACATGGCAAGGCCAGCCAGAGACCGTGGCGGCCCACAGCAGCCCTGTCCACACAGTCCGCGTCTAGATCTGTCACCAATTCCATCTCTCCGTGTCTATGAGGAAAGCACATCTACCCGTGGGGTTGCGTGCAAATTAAATACAGATATATATAGATAGATAGAGATATAATATAGATATAGATAGACATAAAATATTTTATAACTAAATACATTTTATATAAGTGTTTATATAAATGTTATATACTTTTGCAATATAAAATTATAAAAATGACAAAATATTTTAAAATAGATAAATGTTTTTGTTTGTAAATATATACATACATTATATATAAATTAAAGTTACTATGTGTATACATACATAAATGTAGATATGCTCCTATTACCATAAGTGTTACTGAATGGTCACTGTGGCTCTATTTATAATTGCTAAGTGATAGGCAGGTGCCAACCAACTATCTATCATTCATTCCTCTCTGTGTAACTCAGCAGGACATCTGGAAACCAGAACATCAAAACCCTCACTATCTATTGTGGGAGATTTTAATACTTTTATGGTGAATTGGAGAAAGCTTAATTTTACAGAATGGGGCAAACAGGGTATTTTTATATTGCATTTTGCATGCTGACCATTTGTAATAGAATATGCTGCTTTATAAGTCTGCCTAGAAAGCTTGGCTAGACAGTTTAACTGCGCATAATTCCAGATGGTAAACACAATAAAGAATGACCTGACCTCATAATGTGTAGCTTTCACTATCTTCAAGGGAAGAATCAGAGCTGCTTTAAAAAAAAAAAAAAAAAAAAAAAGATTTAAAAAGCTAGATCATGTATATAACTGCATGATACAGAGGCAGAGAGATACAGATATCATATGCACAGGTGTGTTTGTGTGTGTGTGTGTGTGCGTGTGTGTCATGGATTGTATCTAGATGTCCCCCAAGGCCTCATGTGGCCGTAGGTGGGGCTTTTGCAGAGGCGGCTGGATCTCGAGTGTGTGAGGCTGGGACTGAGTCATGGCGCACTGCTAGGCTCAAGGGCCCTAGGATTAAGGGTGTGAGTGCTGCCCGCCCTGAGCAGCCTGGGTAAGCTAGAAGGGGCAGGAAGACGCAGTTAAGGGCCTTTGCTTGTTGCTTTGCTACGTCTGCCCTCCATGAACAGTTGCCCCCCTGCCGTGCCATCCTGCCTTGCAGCAGTCAATGACGGGCTAAAACTGCTACAAACTGTGAGCTAAATACACCCTTGTCCCCTTAACTTTGGGTGTTGGGAATTTTGCCTCAGCAAGGAGAAAAGTAACTAAGACAATGTGCATGTGTGCATGTGCATGTGTGTGTGTGCACGTGTGTACATGTGCATGTGTGTGTGCATGTGTGTACATGTGCATGTGTGTGCATGTGTGTGCGTGCATGTGTGTGCGTGCATGTGCGTGCATGTGTGTGTGTGCATGTGGTGCTCGTGATCAGCCCTCTGTACCTGTGGCTCTGCGTCTGTGGGCTCAGCCCACCCCCGTCAAGCACAGTTGTAATAAATTTCATCTGTACCAAGAGGCAGCCTTTGCCTGTCACACCCCCTGAACACTGCAGTGCAGCGCCATTCACATACCACTTGCGCTCTGTCAGGAGTCTAGGCAGCAGTGACACAAGGACTAGGGGAGAGCTGAGCGGGTTCTGTGCAAACACTGTGTAGCAGCGACCTGAGCAGTAGCTGTAGACTGGTACCTGAAGTGGGTCCTAGGAGCAACTCAGCGTAGGCAGTGAGGGGCCACTGTACACCACATGTGCACACACACACACACACACACACACACACACACACACACACTCACTTCTCAGAAGATAGGAGGACCCTGGGCCTGCTCCTCTGTAGCTGGGACCCATTCCAGCACAGCAGATTAGACATCATGACATAAAATGCGGTCAGACACCAACCACTCACTCGTCCCTTTGGACACCCCACCTGTGCTGTCCCACCTGGGGGGACAAAGACACTACCACTGAGAAGACGGAGTACACAGCAAGGGACAGGGAGCCCCCGGGGACCTGGAGCCTGACCCCTTGCTTCGAGGCCCACTCTGGCTCCTACAGCACACAGCAAGGTGATCCCAAGGGCCAGGGAACGGGAGTCCTGGAAGAGGCCCGCTGCCTGCTCTTAGTCCTCAAGGGTAACCAGGGGCCTGCAGCTCGCACACAGGCGAGCAGAGAACAACACAGTATGCAAGGCTACAGTAATTTGGCTCCAAGACCCAGGCAACAAAACATGAGCACTGCTTCTGTTCAGTGACTGTAACTCGGGCCCGGAAATAGAGCATGCATCCGCCACAGGAGATGACAAGATTTGGGAGCCTAATGTGCCTGCCCTGAAAGCTGTCCTCAACAAATGGCTCCCTTGTACTGCTCCAAGAAGGGGGAGGTCTTAGTCCACACAGGAAGACGCCTGTGGCTGTAACTCCTAGCGCAAGCCCGCTCTGCACGCTGTAGGGTTTCTGTAGTAATCCTGGCCTCTTCCCGTGGGATCCCAGCAGCACCTGCCCTGCTGTGATGACCAGCACACCTCCAAACACTCCCCTCGTCCCCCGAGGGAGAAAGCACTCTCAGCGCAGTCACTGACAGACCTGAACACAGTAAGTTCTGTCCATATATAAGATTCTCAGGTGTGATTTACTGTCACCCAATATTAAAGAGAGAATTCAGAATAAGCTAATGACAAAAAATAGTAGCAAAGCTTTTTTATGAACTCTAAGGATAGAAATGACACTGTTTTTAACAAAGGAAGAGGAGAGGGAGGAGAAGGAGAAAGAGGCACAGGAGGGGAGAAGGAAGAGGAAGAGGGAAAACAGAGGAGGAAGAGGAGGCAGGAATTTTGGTGGTATTGATCTCAATTATCAGTGAAGGCAATAAGGGATACGTCCACATGATGTGCACATAAAACCAAGATTTTGCAGGGTAAAATTTCACAGGAATTGTTTCTCCTTGCAGTGCCTGATTTTTTTTTTTTTCTTCAGGATGACATTTGTGTAGGAAACGCACAAAACATACAAATAAAAGCATAATGAGAGCGTGCAGCTCATGAATCTGGTCTCCCCAAAGAGAGAGCGGCATGCTGAGGGTGGGGCGGGGATAGCAGATTCCTACAAGCAAAAGCCAGAAAAGGTGAAGGTTAGAAGCAAGAAAACATAACTGAAAAGGGAAACTTCACTCCCACGCGCCTCCTGAAGAATATGCATCTGGTCCTTACGTTTATGACAACTGGTCCTGCAACTCCAGGGGAAGCAACCCAGCAGGGAAATGATTTGGTCACCTTCACAGCCAGAAATCAGTCAGTAATTCCCACGATGCAAAGCCAAGAGAGACTGACAAGCCCGTCATCTCAGGCTATGATGACGAACCCGGAAGGAATCACTGCACTGCATAAGCATAAGCATAAGCACAGAGCGTAAAAAAGGAAGGCAGAGCTGGGCACGGTGGCACACGCTGCAATCCCAGCAGGGAAAGTGAGAGGGGGACGTGAGCTGCAAGCCACCTCCCGGGGTAGGGGTAGGACTGGGGGAAGCGGGGCACCTGGCTGCAGGCAGCACCTACACTTACCGTAGCTCTGGAGATCTCCCATGAGCCTGTCCACATCCACATGCAGCTGGCTTTCTACAAAGTTTCTTATAAATTTGTTTCTCAGGGCTTCCTAAAGGAAAACATAAAGTTTCAGGAAGAATAGCATCATATCCTCCTCCTTAGTGATACTTATTCAAGGTTCCTCACACCAGAAAAAGACACACAAAGTGAATCCACTTTGAAAATGTTATAGCTGGACATGGTGGCACACGCCTGTCACCCCAGCACCCTGGGAGTCTGAGGCAGGCGGATCATAAGTTTGAACCTGGCCTGGGCCATTTAGAAACTTAATGAGACGCTGTCTCAGAATTTAAATTTATAAAAAGGATTTGGGTAACGGCTCTGTGCAAAAGCCTGGGTTCATCCCCAATACCGATTCTTGGCTGGAAGATGCCTTCTTTTCTGTGACCTTTCCACAGGCCAGGTACAAAGCATCAGCCACCATTACTGAGGACAGACGGTCGCGTGCCCTAACCCCTCCCACTTCCTGTCCATCTCTGGATCATCCCGCCCCGCCCCCTCCGGGCCGTCCCTCTCTCCTTGGTCAGTGGTTGTGTTACTATGGAGGGGTCCCCAAAATCACTTTCACCAGCTTCATGAAATTTTGCATTTAGGCTTGGCAGTCAGTAAGAGTTTATTCACATGACTCTTCCACATACAAAATCGCACAAAAACTGAGAGGGAGACTACGGATGCACCCACGCGCAGCCCCGGCGTTACGCCGTGCGGAGGAGTCTGGGATTCAGTCGCTCCTTAGAGCTGACACCTGCACTCTGCAGACTGTTTCCCCACTCACGGGTGCCACGGGCGTCTCGGGTCACTGGTGCCCCAATAACCAGCGCCCTCCCGGTGAGCACCTCGGCTCACGCTCGCTGGGATGGCTTCATCTAGTCCTGCCCGAGGACGACAGGACTACTCGGACGGAAATCTGAGTGTTTGCTTTTCAAAACTCTTATTTACCTTCTGTTATTGGGCACCAGCTGTCTGCCAGACGATATGCAGGGTACTTTAGTGTGTTGTCATTTAATCTCAGCAACAGCCCAAGGGGGACGTTACAGTTGCCTTTTACAGCCGGGAAAGCAGACAGGGACAAGGCAGGAGCACCACCCGGAGGCACTGGCGGCAGAACCGGGCCTGGACTTCACTCCAACCAGACACAGACAGCTTTCCCTGAACATGAACCCAGAGCTAAGAAACAGTAAGAATTGATGAGCTAGGCGTGGGGCTTCATGCCTATAATCCCAGCACTCTGGGAGGCTGAAGCAGGAGGATCACAGCTTCAAACCGATCATGGGCCATTTAGTGACTTATCTACATCCTGTTTCAAAAAAATTGCTGGGAGTGTGACTTAGTGCAAGGACCCTGAGTTCAATCCTCAGTACCCCAGAGGAAGGGAGAAAAGGAAGAGAAGGGGGATGGAGGGCGGGAAGGAGGGAGCGGAGGTCTGGAAGCAGTAGAGTAACAATCTGTGATTTTGTACCCTAAGATAAGCAACTCTTCAAGTGGCGGAACAGAGGACTTTGTAAACAGTACTCAGATAAACTCTGCACTTCTCAAGGAGCTGCTGGATGCCCGCAGCAGAGCCAGGTGCAGCTTTCTGTCCCCGCGACACTCTGCGCTGTGGGTCTGGCACCTGGAATGCTTACGCCATCCTCCACAGTTGCAGACGCGGCCTCACCCAGACCTGACCTGTGCAGAGCGGGACCCCTGCTGGGAGGGTGCTGATCTCTGCAT